CTTTTTGTCAGAAATTATATGAAATGGAAATTCATTCAATCATTTTTCCGACGAAAAAGAGTGCATGGCGCATTCTGGAAGATTAGCTAATGCTCTGAATTCCATGTCCGTTGTAAGAGTTTCAATAAAAAGCATGGAATGCTTGGTATGGCAACGGTGCATTGTCCTTGAGATTTTCGATGATTGGATTTACGGCGAGACTTTCAGTGGGCTGATGTCGATTTGGGCGCATGCACTCAAGCGTTGGAATGCGCAGAACCCAACTTTGATGCATTCCCCATGTAATTACGGTCATGGTGTTTTCTGTGCTATGGAGCGAGCTGCACTTAACGAAAGCTCGTCCCGCATTACGAACGAATGTGAGAATCGTTTCGTGGAGAACACGATCCACTTCGGTGGGAAATTCCCCCAGAAACCTCATGCTACGTTTCATCCACTTGATCATGAGCACTTGATCATTATGGATTTTTTTCCCCTGGGAATGGTGTTCCTTCACCACTGGAGTGGAACTTGTTCTGGATTGCGACGCTCGAGAGAGTAAAACGTAACAATCCGTCTGATGACGTAGAACATTCTTTCGGTATTTTTTGCCCAAGTGGGAAAGATGTCCTCATTTCTCGTAATGGGAGTTCCATTGGTGTCGTTTTTACTAAACTTTTTCGTACCCACTTTCGTGAACTTAAGTGGTTAAACGGCTTTCCTGGAAAACAAGCATTTTCCATTATCGTCAATTATGATCGGGAATTGCTCCCAACATCAAATTTTTTGGACACTCAGGTTGTCCCCGTAGCCCCCAAATGTTTTATCCAAAGGGAAGTTGTCAAAGGCAGAGTGTACGAGAGTTGTGGTATATTCCCATCGATGACTTCATACCAGCTTGAACTTTGGGCGAGATTTCGGAGTAGGCTACCAGTGGCAAAGCCTTACTACTTGATCCTCTTGCTTTTTCTCTCTTTCTCTCCCAAACCTCACATCTAATTCTGCTCCAATTTCTCTCCCACATTGATTTCGCTCTATTTCCTCTATCCCATCAACCATACCCTATTCCTCTAACGACGTTTTCAGTTCAAAGACGAATGCCTTCGCCTGTGCCTAGCAGCATTGATACGAGGCAAACGCTGTCTATCCGCTATGCATATACCGGGAGATGATCAGTGTGTGATTTCGGATCAGGACCAGTTAACTCGTCCAGACCTCTTCGTCGAAAATGATGCCCATCATACATTCACCGTCAACTACTTCCGTAACATATGCATCGATCCGCCAGTGGAAGGTGCAATATTCATTACTTCTAAGGATTGAGGACGTTTTACGACAGTTAAAGCAATACTGTATACCGCAGACAAGTCACGGATAAGTTAAGAAGGAAAGCAAGAAAACCCTATCAGATAAATCAATCTGAAAGCAGAGGTGCCATGAAACGATGCGTACGGGCAACTTTCCCATTGATCCCTCACGAGAGTTCACCCAGATCGCTCCGTCCCTTATCTTGGACGAGTTTCGCCCTTTTATCTGAGAAACCATCCTTGCTTTCGATTACAGGAAATCAATTACAGCCAGAAGAATTTGCGAAAACAAATCAGTACTGAATTATCTGTTCATAAGATAATTTTCGGTGGGGAAATTTTGGCTCTGACGATCAAAGTGATCTATCGGTGGACAGCAATCTCTTTTTTGCAAATGATCGTTTTGGTGTTTACTATCAAGCACAAATACTAAAACATTAAGATTGAAAGTCCACTTTTCTTTCTTTTTCTCTTCCCATTATCTGCTACAAGGTTATTGTCCTACAAGGTTATTGTCATAAATTCAAAAGTCCACATCTTTTTCAGAAAAACAAGAAATATGTATTATAATAACAAAAAATGTTGATTTGAGGACATTAATGTCTACCCCTGTAGTCGAACCTAAAGACACAGTTCACAATGAAAATTGTTCATAGAAACATTCCTCTGATGAATCTGTGGCGTTCTATTGTACCACTGAGGCGCTTTCGGATGGGTAAGTAAACGGCCTAGATAGATAACTGTAAGTGCTAAGAGATGTATCGGTTGCATGCCACACCCATAGCGGACGAGTTTCAGCGACGTTGTAGAAGTGCACTATCCCAAGAGAATCCATTAGGAAGTTCAAACCACCTTTTCATGACCTATAACGACAGAGAAAGGCATTTCAGGACAGTCTTGGCTCGGTGTAGTCAGTTCTTTGCATAACTGCAAAAACTGAAATCTCGTCCGAATACCCCTTCCATGTCATTTCCGTCACGGTAGTCTTGCACGGACTCTACTTCCAAGCTTTGAAGAGCCTCATTCTTCCCAAAATCGGCAATTGTTTTTCTACTCAAAAAGGGTACCTTAGTACTTCGAAAACTGGCCTTTAAGTTCCAACTTATCACCTGGCCAACATGTATAGTTTCAGGCTAAATTTTTTGGTGCATTCTGTGAAAGGAGGAACTAGGAATCGTCGAAAAGCACCAATCAACAATTCGAAAAAAAACTTCAGTTACCTCATTGTCGATTAAATGGGGAAAAAGTTCAAAAGCCACAAAAATTCCATTCAAAAACCCTATCTAATTCGACAAAAGGTTGAAAGAAAAAAAAAACCTCAAAATTCCATGCAAATACAGGGATACCCTACCCGCTCCTCTCATGGAGGACTCGGGAAACGCGGAAAAGAATGAACGCAGAGGACCCGAAAGTCACTGAAGGAGCTGACCTTTCCGTTTTCATTCTTTGCACTTTTAAAAAGTTTTTTCGCTATCGACGTATTATTCCGTGTCAACGTCTTTATTCCCCACCTCTTTAGCCAAATATCATGTCATCGCTGGGTTTGCCTTTGAGAAGACTCCCAAAAGGGAAAATTTGGACACATACAATGATGATCTTTGACACCGCATAGATTGGAAATTGTCGTTTTGTATTTTGCAAAAAATGCTAACCTTCATTGTCAGTGCCTTAATGATTACGTCAAGGGTGGGTCCTTTACAAAATGATAAATGTCGCCGAGTTCTTAGGAAACAAATCATGTTGACACCTAATTTCACAAAAATCATTTTTTTCACAACGGTCCCAGTAGCATAGCACAAGGTCGATGTTTGATTCCGAAAAAAACATCAAGAGTTGATATGATCGTTTTGCAGAAGGTGGTCGTTTGGAGGCACGTCTTACTGGATACCGAGGTGGTGAAGGCATTCTGGAAATGGCACAACGCAAAGGACAAAATCCGAAACTTCTGGCAATAATGACCGGATTGCAAGAGAATAGGGTAAGTTTCCCTACGAGTCATTTATTTTGAATGGATTTTTCAAAGCTCTCACCGCACTGAAACCCATTCATTTAAATATGGTAGGATGAACTAACAAGGAAGGTCTTTCACGGCGTTGATGTCTTCTTCACACCTTAGCTGACCACAGTTGCAATGAACAGAACTAATCAAGGTACCGGGGAGGGATGGAAGGTTTGATGAGCTCAGGCGGATAACAATTCGAAAATGGTCACATCACATGGTCCCGGATTCAAACCCGTGACCATGCGTGTGTAATAGTGCGCCACCACCCAACACCACCCAAGACAACNCTCTCCAACTTCAGAAGATCCCTGTGCTATGCTTCTAAACAACTCTCCAGCTGGACTGGCTATGTGGCAGCCGTTAAAGGGGTTGAAGGGGTTGAACACAGCACCGAAACCGTTCCAATACTCCAATCGTTTCGAACTGACTTAACGCCACATGTAGTATCCAAAGGACCAGCTCTTTTGAGACCATAAATCTTCTCGTACGGCTTCCTTCAGAATGATGGCTCGATGATCCCAATGACCAAACCAATAATCTTTCCGTTCATCAGCTGATAGGCGAACTGATTTTGATTTATTCTCCTTTGCAGAATTTCCATTTGATCTATGCTCCTGACGTGGAACTTACTTCATGCTACAAAGCCGGTCTTCTGAAGGATCACAAAGGCAAAAAACTGATCACAATCGATAGCGACAGCAGAGGAATGGCCATTCAAGTAAGTGAGCATAGACCAATTGTACACGCCCTGCTGGAATTTTAAAGCTACCAACGCACTGAGCTGTCATTCTCATATTTGGGATGTTGACGTAAGTTGAATTCCCCTTTGCCCAGAAGACTTGTAATATAATTAGAGTTTGACATTCTTTGGTTATCTCACTAAACGTCTTTTGCCGAGAATATAAAGTACAGTTCACATTTCGTCGCTGTAGGGAGGTGCCCGAGGGCTTCGAACTTTGGCCAGAACTACTTGAAAGAAAAGTGCTTGTCTGCAACCTAGCAGTACCAAAAAGCAAGATATGGACTATATAAATGGGCTAGAGATTCCACGTCGTTTACGTTTTTCACGTGGGCCTACAAACAAATGTAAACAAAAACAACAACAAGTGCCTAGTCAAAATAACCCTTAGGGTGAACCTTAGCCATTCTGATGGTAACGCTTGTGACAGTTTTTGTTATTCTGTAGGTAGGAATACTTTCGAATAATATCGAAACTATGAAAGGAGGTTGACGGAGTTTCAAAATCGAAGTTCATCAGTCAGCAAAAAAGAATTGAAGAAGACCAGTAGTTTTTATTAATAATCAAGTCAATAGATAAATAATGTGAGAAATTTCTGTTTGGCCCGATATTGGAAGAAATATTGAAATTTCAAAAAGAAATCAGGCCCAACATTCAGCCAGCTGATCGTTGCAAAAAAATCGAACTAAATAGTTTATAACCTAATCACCAATAGAAGTTGGATTTCTAAGGCCCCTCCTTCATTGTAGCTCACAACCTTGCCAAGAAAAACTAGATCGCTGCGGACTTTGGCCCTATTAGGTTCTCCGAAGAGTTCTGAGACCTTGAGATGTTTAAGTTGGGTGGAACCTATGGCAGAGGCAATCTTAAAATTCTCAAGCCATTCTCAAACTTTACGTTGTACGAGGGTATTACTGAAAAAAAATCAGATGAAAGACTCATTTTCAGCCATGGACTGAGGTCGATTTCCATATTCTCGACGATGCAGTGATCGATAAGGTAAGAAACTACCGAGACATTACTCAAATGTTTTTTCACTATCACTATAGAGCAACTGGATGCTGAAAGAGCGAGCACCCATATTGACTGTCTTTTTTGTGAATCATGCTGCGTTCACACTTTGCGATTAAGAAGGGCAATACTCGTTCATAACGTAGTTATCCACTGTTGACCCCGATCGCGCGTCACGCGTGAAATTTTGCCTTTGACTTGTTTTCTCCCTGCAGGGGAATGATGAGATGATCCTTGGCCAATATTGTCCCGGATAAGGCATGATTTGATTTCTTCAGTGGAGTGGATAGCAGGAAGCAGGAATGGTTGAGCGCGGGCCACTGGGAATCGGCGTCATACGTCATAAACCGGAAAAGTTCCACACCGCATTCTGTAGCTTTTCTTCGGTGAAATGAATTAGGATGAAATAGAATATGCCTAACCTCAACAGCATTTTGAGATTGTCCGCAAGTCGACAAACTGCGAAGTTGACATTTCTGGTAACCGCATCATCTCTCGAGAACCCTGGCCTACGCCTTCATGCGACTTTGACTCCACCGGATCTTTTTCAGTGGCTGCGCTGAAGTAGAAGCCCTACGAAGAGAATCTAAATATCATAAGGGAACTCTAAGGTTCATTAACACTTTACACTAGGAACTTCACTCCTGGTATAAACAACATCGAACCACTCTAAGGACGAATTCGAGTACTATCCGAGGCCGAAGTTTTGCCCACATATTGCTCTAAGGTTTTGCCAACCTCACGAGAACTACTTTGAGCATCTCTTGCAACTGCAATTACATTGATACCAGGATTAGGAAGTGCATAGCGACTTACCGAACACCCGGTAGTAACTGTCACCCATCCGCAGATCTCAACCTCCAAGATGAGAAATCTCGCGTGTAGGGGAGAAGAAGACATCGGATGGGTGGGGTCTGGCGCTGCCTTTTGAGGTATAGTAGATGAGAAGACACTTGAGTGTGGATCCACTTAATGTTGCTCTTTTTGCCTCCGCTTAGGGAATCACTTTAGAATCGTAATTTCTCAGTGCTGGGTTTGGGTCCAACTAAGTTCGTCGAGTCTTTCAACTCTTCAACCTTACATACAACCCCCTAGACCTATCCTTTGCCCGTGCCTTTGGCTGCTATGGGAGTTTCTGACGCCTGTACATTCACGATTCACCGATATTTCTGTTTAGGTGATACTTGTTGTTGAAGCAGGGACATCGAATGTGGTGGATTGTGGTAAGTTACAAATTCATGGCAATGTTTCTGATTGGCAACGTGCCATGAATGGAAGCCCCAATACCCTTCGGGTCACCGTCACATATTTTGTCGCTCTACTAGTGGCATTGTTAATTTTTGCATAAAAACCGGTTATTAGCATAATAAATGTACAAACTTGTAAGTACTTCCGATGTCATAATTTATGCTGAATTAATCCAACGTTATGCTCCTGTATCATACTGGGTCACAGCCGTATTTTTGACGCTTAGTGTGTTTTTCAATAAAATTGTTGATCACTGTTCTGGGATGTTTCCCAAGAAGCACGCACAAATATCCATATACACCACACACCCATACACACCACATACACATGTACACAGACACAATTATGCTCCTCAAATAATGGTAACGCCCGTCTTGTTAATGAGATAAAAAAACCAACAAAATTCAAAAAAAAAACTTTTTTTTCGCTCTAATTTGTGCAGAACTTTTTTGCGTACTGCTGAAGTTTTTTTTTTGGTTTTTTGGACGGCAATTAATGTGGGAACTAATCCAGCGACGTCCCAATCACCGCAGAAGTTGCTTCGGAGAAACTGCACTGCTCGCCGCAGCAGCTCTTCGAGGATTGACGATACTACAGACGCTGCCAGGAACCCCTCAGACCTTTTATCCCCTACTACCACCGGTGGTGATGGTCCCAACCCTTAGTAGCTAGTGTGTTGCCGGTGATGGCGGTCGGTATGACCAGCGAAAGTATGTATGGCCGAAGTCGCGAAAACAGCAGAGAATATGCAGATCGAGAAAAATGAAGCGAGAAAAGAGTAGAAGGTTTCAAAGAAAGAAGACAGAGCAAACAGCAGTCAAAATTCAAACTACAAGTGATCAATAAATGTTTTGATGGAAGGTATGGGACATATGCATAGCGAAGCTGAACCCTAACGGGAGAAATAGACGTTGAGCCGAACTCACAAGACCGACGTGTGTTGGTCTATATGGGGGGTGTTAGGTAGAAATCGGGGGTATTCAGGAGTAGGATTGATAATGATGGAGAAGATAGACGTGATACAGAGGAGAATGAAGAAATCAAGAGGGTAGGGATCATTCCCGTACACTAGCGTCCCACGGAGTCCACTTCTGTCCTGTGTTTACACTCCATAACTAAGCAGTTGTTAAGAGAGAAACCTATTCAGGTATGGAAGGAGGTACGAGGATATAGGGTCATGTAAGGAAGTAGTGATCAGTAGGAGAAGATCTCCCCATTATTATCAATGCCTGGTAAACCCATGAACATTCCATCTATCTCTGTCTATTCTGTCATCCTTGCTATATTCTGGCTTGTTTGAACTCGCAATCAGGATGAACTGGCAAAGACCACCAAGAAGAGACTGTATGGTGTTACTGGTACCGAAAGAATTTGAAGGAAGACGACACACAAGATGGATACTGCCTATGGGATCAACACCTGCAGAAAGATTCGCATTAAAATTAAAGTGTTCAGTAGACATGGATTACCGGAACAGTTGGTACCAGAAAATAGATCTTTACATTTAGGGAATTCAAGTATGTAAAGGCACGATTCACGATAAAAATGGCTACCGAGTTGTCCCCTTAGGAATACACAGTGGCCCCCATGGGTGGTGGAAGGGTCCCTCTCGCTCCCACAATTTCAGCGGTTAGGGCATAGTGGGAACCCTGTTGCTGCCGTAATTGGCATTAAGGCCCCTCGACCGATGTCACGTTAGACGAGTGTCGAGACAATACAGACTGCTATTATTCGTTCTAGGACCCACGCACAATGAGCTAATCGCCGAGTGATGAGGCGATGTTTTCCTCCCATTCTTTTTTCCCCTGTTTTCCTTTTTTGCTGCCGCGATCCCTTATTTAATTTCCTACTCCTAGAGGCTGAAAAAGGTGAGCTACTTTTGCTGTTACTAGGGTTTTTTTGTTTATTTATGCTTATAAGTGAATGAATTTTTGCTTACCATTGTCTGTTCTTCGCACCAGGACCCACACAAACGCAGTGACGCACTGTGCGTAGCCCGTCCGAACGCCCCACTCTTCTTCATTCTTCTGGTCTCGTTCTCGTCCCATAATCTGGGTTACCCAAAGTTATCGTGAACTGTGCCTTCAATATTGCAAGCGAAGGGGTAATTGCGCAGATACTCACTCCTGCCTATCATCCGAATTCTGACGATTGACGATGAAGCGGGAGGTTTGTGCATGCATTTAAAAATGCATTCTAGGAGGGGATAAGTATAGATACACCTGAAGAAGTAGCAGTGAGTGATTTATTGTATGCATATAGCGTAACACCTTATGTCCGCCATCT